AAATCATCATTAGGTTCAGAATTAGTTGCTACACCATTGAAACAAACCATTTTCTCCCCAGGAAACTGAAGACCTTCATTACTTTGCAGGCTTATTTGTTCACTCTCTTCAAAATTGTATCGCAGCTTCTTTTTCCTTCTCCTATCTATTGTATCATATTCCTGAGGATACCTGGGGACATCTACAGACCCTGACTCCACACACACATTTTGGCAGCACCTTGATCTTTCACAGTGATTGAAATTTCCTCTTTTTGAACGAGTTTGCATCTTTTTTATGTTTGGTTCATGCCAACTTCTATTTTTATGACTCTTTTCTAAGAATTCATCTATTAGCAGTTTTCCTAGCTCTTCATAGTTACTCTCCTGTTGTTCTTCTCCATCTTCAGAGTTAAATGGAATGATCCTGACTCTTTCATTTCTAGCTAGAGATCCTTGTCTAAGATGAGAAATAAAGGGGGTGGAAGGGAAAGAAAGAAAGGCAGCAAAAGAAAATAGGAAGAGAAAAATAACGGTTTTAAAAAAAGCTCTAGAAAGGACATATAAAATAGTAATGAAAAACATGCATTTAATAGAGGAAAATTAAAATCAGAAACATCCAGAGATAACAACACTGAAAACCCGCCAATCTACCACCATTACATTTCAATCAAATAGTCAAAAAAAGCAGCATGGGTTATGATATTCCACCAGTTACAGCTGCACAAAAATTAGAAATGCCTGTTTGAAGGAGAACAGCTTTTTATGATCAAGTGAGGGCACGCAGCCTTGGCTGTACCAGTAGTCTGCTGTTACTTTTTTAGGCATGCTGAACAGTAACAGGACTACTTTGAGATATAGTGCTCACACTCAGCACTCCACTATGCTATGTATGTGTTTCAGTCACTCTCAGCTGCAGACTTTGTTTCAGCAGTATTCATAAAGCACACAGGCACTTTGTTTCTCCCAAGGGTGGCTACAGAGCAGAGACTGCATGCAAAAAACTCAGGAGACGTTGGACTCCAGGGAAGTGGGGACAGGGGACAAAATGCAACCTCTGCACACCAGCAACACAAGGAGTTCCAGCTACTCCACTTGCACCTCTTTGTTGGGAGGGCTCTCACTGCAGCTAATGCCCTGAAGGGGCTCCTACCAACAGAAAATGAAGATCCTCTGCGCTGTTATTGGATCAGAAGGCAAACAAAAACATTGGCAATGGATATTACTCCATTGTAAGCCTCAAATACTTTTCAGGACCAGTACTTCCCATTTATAATGCATCTAAACAGATCCAGCAATCTATACTTGTCCATTGTGGGAGAACGGACTAAAGCAGCTACTGTTTTACTATCAAGCGATCTGAAGCTTCCCACAAACCCAAGTAAACAACCCTTAGGATTTTGGGCTTAATTCCTAGCCCTTGATCATAGAATCTTTGAGTTAGAAGGGACCTTTTAAGGTCATCTAGTCCAATCCCCCTGCAATGAGCCGTTGATTAGAAGGATTATTTCAATTGTTCAACAACATGAAGGCTAGTAGCAAGAAAGCTTCCTCTTTACTTAAATCTCACAGGTAGAAAGTGGATGTAAAAAAACTCAGAAAGCTCATCTGAAAGATGCATTGCAGCTTTGTCTCACATAATTCATTGTTGAGATTTAATGCTCTGACCCTGTAAGAGCAGGGCAAGAGAAGGGAAAGGGCAAAGGGCACACGGGCTCTGTATGGATACTGCTAATACAAAAGTCTTATGACAGGTGCCTGGGGCACCCCAAGATAGGATAGCACTGAAAAATAAATAGGTCATTGCATTTTCAATGCTGCTGGTTTAGTGCTTCATTTCCACCAGTATTAGTTAACTTACACTAATTGGAAAGATACTCATTACTTTAAATGAGCCCTGTTTTACACAGTTTAGAACACTTCCTACACTTCTTGCTTGCAATTTTAAGCTGGTAAATGAAATAATTTTCTTTAAAAAGCTAATAAAATTTAAAAGACTCCCAGGGCCACCATAGTTACTGGATCAAGCCCTGCCAGATCTCAGCTGAAAGCAATGGGAGCTACATGAATGCCTGAAGAGCCATTAGCTGTAAATGCTGAACCAACGACTAATTTAGGCATAAAGGAAATTACTTTTCTTTCTCATTGAGCTCCTCCTCCTCCTGTTTCCCCTGCCATTCTACAAAGCATTCCTTTTACTAGAAATAAAGCAACAACAAGAAGTCCAACACCCGTGAGGAGAAAAAGATGACGGCATCAGCCCAGCATTAAACTACCATAGATCTGAAACAGAGCCAAGGCAAACAGCAAATATCAGCTGAAATATACCACAAGACCACTTCACAGCAGCAACAGCAAGAAGACAGGCACACAGGCTGCAAAGAAGTTAACCCACCTATCAGACAGATCTAGAGAGCGCCTGCTCTCTAGTGAGCACTGGCGGCTTGTCATTTGACTAGACTCAGATGTGGACTCTAGGTCAGTTCGGCCACTCACAGTGGAATCTATGCTATCATATCGCCTTGGAAATAAATAGAGCAAAAGCAGGGAGACATGGAGGACAGATGGTTACACAAAATGAGCATTGCAAAGAAAAGTTAGTGCTTAAAAAAAAAATCTGAGGGGAAGATGTGTGCTACTCTGAAGTCAAAACTGGCTGCTGGCAGCAAAACAGACTCTAAGGACAAATAAGATTAATACTTGTTTTCCTTAGGAGAGAGGGAAATAGAATACATATACTTCTATCAAAGGAACACAATCACATGTAACAGCTGATAAAGAGGATCAGAACTTTTCCAGCCAAACCTGAATGTCATTAGAAAAAAAACCCCAGGTGTTACTACAGCCAGTTTCAACTGAAGCATTTTTGGCATAGACAACTTTTTGCTGAATTCAAGACAGGTTCTAGCAGAACCCTGTCTGGTTCCTCCGGGTGTGCCCAGGATGGGGTCCTACAAGCTGTTATTTCCTCAGCAATCAATCACCAACTGCAGTCTGCCAGGAACACTGATTTTGTCAGGTGGCTGCCTGGTCCACGGCACTTAGAACTGCTAGGAGCAAAAGTCAAACACAATTCAGTTTTGCAATACTCTACAACTACAAACAACTGTGTTTTGAAAATATTTAAGGTCCACCCACATGCTTCTATTCAGCCAACTCTCCTTAGAAATATCTTTCTGATAAGAAAGAGAATCCCACTTAGCTTCTTTGGAAAGCTTATTTGCATTTTCTAAGTTTTAGGATTAAATATGTAGCAAAAAATCTTGCTGGGCATGTGGAAAATGAACAGGTGAACAGGAAGGTTCAGAGGGAATCGATCACCATCTAGGATTTGCCTTCCTGCAGTGAAAGTAGACCAGAGCAGACTACAAAGCTCTTAGTTTTTAAGTAAACTTTATCAGTCCAGAACCTTTCATATCAATACCTTCAGGAAAGCAGAAAAAGTATACATATTCCATCTTGGTATTTTTTAACAATTCAAACCAGAAATGCTTCTTTGGAACTTCTTAAAGAGACATTTATCCATTAGACACGGTCAAAAGTTCACACACCACCTGCCTCTAAGCAAGGTGAGCCACATATCGTTCCATTGTAAACACCGCCCCAAGAATCACAGAACTGCAAAAACATCCAGCCTTCTGCAACCTGGGGGCCCAATACCACTGTCCAGCTTGGCTCTTCCGTAAAGAAAAAGCTTCAACTCTTCTTCCCAGACTCTCAGTAAGATCTTCAGCAATTTTACCACTGCAAACCAGCAGTACAGAATAGCATGGGAAAGGGAATAACTTCCTTATATAAGACATTGAATGGACTAGGAAAAGAGCACTAAGAATGATACGTCACACTGTAGTAAATGCATTTGGTTGGCACACTTGCCTCTGCTGCTTGACATCATGAAAACAGCAACAACATTAAATATTATCATTAAACTTCAGCTTTTACCTTTAAAGACCATAAGGCAAAAAGAGTAAAATTTAGCTTCAGCCATACACCCATAAAGACAACTGAATTCAGATTCAGGCTTCGGGAAACAAGAACATTCTTACGAAGGGGGTGAGGTAGAACAAATCACTGATAATACATATAAAACCCTGCACTTTTAACTGTGTCAGAGTTTAAGCAACTGCCTCTTCCTTTCCGCACTGAAGGCGGAAGCGGCAGCATGGCCTGTTCTACACACCCACTCTTACCAAGCTGACCAGCACTGTCTAAGTTCTTCTGCTTTCCCCATACACCTAACTCATGCTTTATTTGGAACTTTTGTAAAGTTTCTACAGTTCCCAGCACAACCAGCGCTAGCTTACAGTCATTGATCCTCGTAAGTTAATGCTGTAATGTTTGATACTTAAAAAAGATAAAAGCAGTTGTGAAACTACTGATTTATGCTCAAAATTAGCTTTTTGAGCAAGTAAACTATCTTTCATACAACTCAAAGGAAACTAAAAGAGAAAACACACTATTCAACAGTGCTACGCAATAACCGGGAAAAAAAAACCCTAACTGGTTACAGACTTTCTTCTTGAACATGTTGTTTTGTCAGAGCTAATAGAAGAACAGAGCTAATCTAAAACAGAAAATAAACCTGCCACAAGAAAGAAACTCCTAATAGCATAACTCTGCTAGACTGTGTTTCACTGGCTTGCAAGGCACACCCATGCCATGGTACCAGAAAAACCAATTACCCGGTGCTCTGGCCTTCAAGAGGTAAGGTGAAAGTAGAACCAAGAATACATGACCTCAGAGTTGAGCACGTCTTTAAAAAGAAATTCGCTAAACTGCCAGATCTGATGTAACACACAAGCTTATTTTTCCTGGTTCACGGCAGAGTCCCATTGTTAACAAAACATGTAACTTTAACAAAAACTTGAACAAAAACTGTTAACAAAACATGTAACTAACAAAACTTCCTGTCAGAAGTCTTTCAGAGCCCTTGAGTTGTCCTCCTCTGCTAGCATGGTACCTTCAGGGTCTGCTATGGAAAATCAACGGGAAAAGAAGAGCTATCCAGAAGACAGCACATACCTGATGGCCACATGCTCCCGATAATCCAAATCATAATTTTGTAGGGATTCGGCACAGGATTCCCGCAAGACCCCTTGCTGCTGCAGGCGTGACGGTACAGTGAACTGGTGCACAGAGGCATTGGGCTGTGCGGTCGTGTGGTATGGAGGCGGAATGCTGTTACTTGTCTCACTGCGATAGTCACTATCTCGATCATCCACAGCACTGTCAGCATCTTCAAAGGCTAAGAAACAAAAGCAGTTAGGGCATAGCTCTCTCAAGCTGCCTTGCTGGGACAGTGAGGCCCATTTAGTTTTTAAAGAATGACAAAACCCGCTATTTCTGCTATGGATGTCTCTCCATCTGGTAGCTGGTTATAACTTCCAGTTCTGCCAAGTATGTGCCAAGGAATTACAGTGATCACCCCCCAATACCCTCCTTTCCCACTTCCTGTCACAGGAGTTTATTTCTCTTTAGTCATTCGTAATAAGTAGATTAAGACATTTTTATTTATAACACACAAAAAAAAACCACCCCAACACCCAAAATTTCAGGTTCTTGGCTGCTGCCAAAATGAACATTTAGATGTTGTGGGGTAGGGAACCAAACATAAATACTCCTGTATGGAAAGGAGCTCTTTCCTGGAAACCTTTAAATCTTTAAGCCGTAATATTATCTCCTCTTTTCAGCATCCTTAATCACTACTCTAGGGCTCTGGATTTTTTTTAGTGTCTTGTTTTTGGTAAAAGTATTAGCTTAAGTTAAGAGAAGCTAATGAAAAGCACTCAGTAGGAAAATCAGAAGAACTGAGAGCAGCTCTGCTTATAAACAAATACACTACTTCTTACAGGAGAAAAAACGCTACATTTAACACAAACAGGAACATCAGTTTTAGTAGTCAACACTAATGATAGACTTCCCAAAGGAAAAAGCTCCTTTCCAGTGAGTCTGTCTCCCTGCAGAAACACTTCTGCTTGCTAACTCTTCAGAAAAAGAGAACAGAGAGTTATAGCGAGGAAAGGTATCAAAAATACAACACTGGTTTGGTACAGCTGTGTTTTGCTGCGCAGGATGCAAGGTTACCTTTGCAAGCTTCAAGTGAAATACACACACTGTATGGTAGTGGAGTGCACCATTAACATGCTTGAAACAAAGGAAAATAAGGATCAGCCACTCCCTCTACCACCAAAAGTCTAGCTGAAAAGGACTATCAAATTAAAGCCCCCTCTGTTAAGTTACTGAATGGTATGTGCCCTGCATAGACATTCACCACGAGGCTGAACAATAAAGTGAAAGTGCTGCTTTCATGCCAGATCCCTAAAAAAACCCTGAATTTAATTGCTGAAATTCCAAGGAGATGGAACACAGCATCAGAGAACACCATTTTCTTACACTAGTGCTTCCCACACCTACAATTCAATTTCCATTGTTTTAACTCAAGGTGAAGTTTGTTCTTAGCGATCTTTTTGGTTACTTCCCAAATTAGTAAGGTTGTATCAGTGCTCTAAATTGGATGGAAGAGTAGAAAACAATCCAAGCAGAAAACTCGTCTGCAGAATACAAACCACTTGAAAATGCCCGGCTTTAGTCTCTTAAGTACAATCAATTCAATTTGATTTTCCACACCAAAAATGGAGTTAAGCCTCTTGCTTTTTAGTAGTCTAAATGCTGCATAGTTCTTGTCAGTCTCTAGTCAACTGAATAGAAATGAATAGCAATCATGTATGGCTTTATTCAGCTTTATTAAAAGCACAATGTCCTTCAATTTTATCACAGTTCGGTGCATAGAAGAAACACTCAAGATGTACACGAAAACGATTTGATATGCCGAAGTGCCAAGCCTCTCTGAGAAGCACCAAACTTCCAGTCTGTGGAGTAAGGGCTGATCTATTTGCAGATCGTAAGCACACAGCATCCTCAGAAGCATAACAAGCTATTGCTCAGCTGAGCAATGTCATTGCTGAACACTTGAGCCATTACTGTCTAATGCACAATAATTACTTTTATTGTGACACAAACACTGTTTCAAAGAGCTTTGTAATGCCTCGCTTTGCTGCTCAACTAATTTCTTCTTCCCATCACATGTAATTCTCGTTTAAGGTGAGACCTAAATAAATCTGGTATGATGCAAAGTTCTTCCAGCTGTGGCTTCATAATGATTATAAGCACTTATAGGGTCTTAAGGCAGCCCAGCTGAGTTACAGGTTCAGGATCTGGTAAAAGACACCAGACCAACAGCTTTATGGATAAACAATTTATCTCATCACAACAGTATAATACAAAAACAAATCAGTAGTACAATTACCTGTGTCAAAACAATAGTGAATCTAGTAACTCACTAATACTGGGCTGAACTTGTACCAGGGAGTGCAAAGACTTACACAGTTATGGTTATCAGAAAGCAGGACACAGCTTTCCGGGTCAGCAACTCTACACAGCCGATGCCCTCAGAGTGAGACTTCAAATTCCCTGATCAGACTGTTGCAAAAGCACTTATCTGGATTTGTTAACCAGTCATCGCATCTCACCTCTGCACTATCAAACGAAGATTTCCCACATGAACCACGGTATCTCTAAGCAACACCTAAAAATAGCTGATTAGCTTAAATGTTAATCAAACATTTAGAGTATGTATGTTTATAAAAGGTGGCACCAGAATTTCTCACTGTTCTTACTGGTGTTTAGCATGAGGAAGGCTCTTGGAGGTCATGACACAAAATGCCTCACCGATGACATGTTTAAAGGATGCAAGGCTCCAGCTACCACAAACGACAATGAGGCAGGAAAACACTGCTTCTCTGATGTATACGTCATGCATCTACAGCATCCATATATGTTAATACCAGGCAGAAATCCTCAACTGACTCATAAATAAGGACCAACTCCAGAAACTCTTATTCATGCTGAATTGTACTTACCCTATGAGCAATCTCACTTTATTTAACAGAAGTGTTCACAAATGAAGACATTGCTCAGCCTGAATAAAAGCACCAAAACCTGGCCCATATGTGGCTTATAGCACACGTTACCTTTGCAAGAAAGTATATTGTGAAATGCCTGCACATGGTGATGATCCCCTTCATTAACATACTTGACACTTAAATTTTGTTTAAGCAAGACACTGACAAGAACCTACAGAAGCAGCTCTGGGGATGCAGCATCCCTTCAAAATGAGGGGTCACGCATTACAGCCCATGTTTCAGCAAAATATCCCTCACAACACACATGGTGTGATAAATTAAAGCACTATCTTCTTCAAATAGATGATACACCAAGTCTTCCATGAGGAAAGTTGTAGCTTAGTCTCAGTCTCTGAGGATCAGTTAATTAATTACAAGATACATAACAATACATGTAAGACGACAACAACTGTTTTACCCCAGTTTGAGAAATTTCACGTGTACCAAAGAGCTCTCAAGGGATGAAAACTTTTTCTTTGTCGCTGGACCCACTGTGTAGAGAATGGGGGGGTAAGGCTGAAGGACAGGGCAGAAGCATGCTTGTTCATGTTTAATAATTGAATATTCATGCATATAGGCAGCATAAGAAGAAAACCTACTGACAGTCACATCACACAGCAGGGTTTTACAAAGAGTGGGGAAAAGCAAGAAAGGAGATAGCTTCTCTGAAAGACATTGCCTCCTGGAAACCCTGTTATTCCTCCCCGCTGCTGCCTCCAGGAGTTCTTACGCCACTGCTGTGGGGCAGAACACATACAGCTTTTAATATACTGACCTCAAAACCACTTTGCACAGTCCTGTCACACCAGCTCTACTAGTCACATTTAACCTCTGGCAACTTTCTTTACATCAAGCTTTGGGACAGGAAAGAAAACTAACAGCAAAATTATTACAGGTGGCTGGATGAACGCACTTTCAGAAGAGTTTTTGTTGTTTTAAGGTCCCAATGTACAGCAGGAGCTCCTCTCAAAAGGTTGCATTCAGTTAAAATTGCCTCCTGCTTTTCTAGCAGTGATGTATCATCTGCTGTTGGGAGCTGAGGTCTAGTCGCTAAGCTCAGTTATCCTCCACAAACTTGGGCAAAAACTTGGACAAAAGCAGTAAGTGCACAACACTCAGGCACCCAGGAAAGAGGAGGTTCATGTAAGGTTCTGTACTGTAAAACCCACACTACTTCTCCAAAATAAGCCACCAAGCTTCTCACAGCTTTTGACTATTTTTAAAACATCAGAAGAGAAGAAAGTGTACTAACTCAAGGAATGACTTCCAGTCCAAATCCAGAAGGTATCTCTGCCAGCTCCACACCAGACCCTTTGTAACTCACCTTCCCCACCCTCCATCCATTTAAATTCCTTTTCACAATAGCTGCCAACAACTTCTTTCCTTAAGTCTCAGACCCCAATACTCCATCGTCTACTGAACCATGGTCACTTCTGACAATTATGTACACTTTCTGAAATCTTAAAATTAAAATACATAGCAGTTTAAAGAGGACTACTGAAGCAACAAAGAAGAGAAAAAAAATATCTCAAAAGGACGTGGGGCATTTTTTTTAGGCTTTTCTATAGCTTTCCATGCTAAAAATTCAAAAGCTTTTGAGCAATGATTTAAGGGCAACTTTGCAGGTCATTAGTCCATCCTGTTGCTCTCACCACTTAAAAATACACTTGAAATTTGTGTTAATTTTAAGACAGCAAGTATTCAGTCTTTGGTTTGAGAGCCTTCATAACCTTGTTTTTCCCACTTAAAAATACTTTATACTGCTGAAACACTCAACAGTCAAGAACTGGACTGACAGTCTGAAGTGCAAAGACTGCCTTGAACATCTATACTGCTTCTTTAAGTCTTTACCTTTCCTAAAATGAAACTAGGTCAGCAGCACAAGATGTCCCTTTTCTGAAGCACTCTGCCCAACTAGCAAGGCACCAGGCTGCAAGTGCTCTTCTTGCAAGAAGCTCTCACCAGGAAAAGGTCTTCCAGCTACCAACATGCTGTTTCTGCTGCTTCCTTCTCAGTTGCTGTTGTAAGTTTACAATTAGAAGTATATTTTTCATTACATCAACAAGCTAATGGAGTTCACATGGTAACATCATCAACACTGGCCCAAGCCTGCCTATAAGGATGCTAACATGATTTCAAAGAGGACAGCACAGGAAGGATGAAGTAGAGGGAGGGAGAGAGCTCCATGAATACAAGCACCTTTTAAAACAAAAACACCACACATCAACACTGCATCTCAGATAAACAGGAGAAACACCCTCCACACAACCCTCCTAAATCTCTG